CCTTGGAAATCACTACCATGTCACATAATACCATAGAAAAGTGATTCTACTTTTAAAGATTACATTTTTTTGGCATTTCTCAGAAAAAAATAAATCCTGCATGACAAAATTCAAAAGGGTCTCAACACATCTTGTTCAAAATCTACACGTTTTGTTTATTCTGTTCCTTTCTGCACATGTGTCGCTTTCAGCAGCACAAAGGGGAGTTAAAGGAAATTAAATGGCAGATAAGGCTGCAAAGGAGGCTACAACAAGAGAATCCATTGATCTGTCAGTTAAAATTAGTAAGATGGAAACAAACAGCATCATTAAAAAGAGACTGAAGGAAAGGTGGCAAAAGCAATGAGAAAAAGAGTATATCAAGACTTAGATTTGGGCATACAGGATTAAACTGTACTTTATTCAAAATAGGTCAACATAACACTGGTATGTGTGAATACTGTGAGCAACAAGAAACAATTGAACATGTGATGGTACACTGTAAGAAGTATGAAAGAAAAAGAAGGGAATTGGTTCAAAATCTTAAAAAAGAGAAAATACACTTTATTTTTATAGAAATCCTTAGAAAGAACTCAAGAGATAAGTGTTATATAACTGTTTTTCATTATCTTAGATTAATCAATATAATTGAGAGGATTGAATCTTATTTTAATTTTGTTTTGTTCAGTATAACTGGTAGTAACCATTCAGATCCACACTCCATACCAGGTGGTGGCGGTATTGCCCCATTTCGTTGCGTGCCAACCGCCTACGAAATAGTAGAAGGTGTGTCGCTTTCGTGCAGTTTGTCCCTATGTGCGCCCCGTAGCACTCACTGCCCTTTCCTGTTACGCATTTCCGCTTTGATTTCCTCCATGTGAAGACAGAAGAAGGTGAAATTTTAAACGGGAAAACACATCCGAGGAACATCAAGGCAAAAATGTTCAAACTTGAAGGACTCGGGCCTAAAATGGACCCAGAGGAGATGAAGAAGAAAATGCGAGAAGATGTGATCTCATCGTTACGGAATTTCCTTATTTACGTCGCTCTGCTCAGAGTCAGTAAGTACATAAATAAATGACATTGGGAATCGTCTATTTCACTTTCTAAAAAAACATCCACTTAAACCGCAGCTTTGTGGATTTAATATTAGCACAGAAAACATCTAAAACTTAAATTTTAAGAACTCAGAAGAAAAAGGAGTCAGGAGAAAATCAGACAAACACGACCTTTAAACTTAAAGATTATATGAATTTACAAGAAATCTTTTGACATTCAAACCATTCAGAATCGTTTATATCTTCTAGATATCAAATCTGCAACATAGTGTTTTCTTAACAAATTTTTATTACCATTATATAAAATCCTTTGCATCATAATTTCCTTTTTCTATTCCAGCGCCATATTAGCCATGGGATTGTGTTATAAAGTGTATCTCCACTCATAATAGGCATTAATGGCTAAACCCAATAAATGTATTTGCCTTATAAGCAAAGGGAAACGATCGTAGCCTTCTTTCAGCCAGCTGACCAGCAAGGTGCAGTAACTCATTGCTGTACACAAGTGGTAAAACTTCCTTTTTTTTTTCTCCAGCCATTTTTCTGGTTTCTCATTAAAATGACCTTAATAGTAGGAGCAATACGACACAAAAGCTTTGCAGCTTAGAAACCTTTTTTTTTCTAAAACCTTAGTGTCTTTGAATACCAGTTACCATCTCAAGGCAAAGGAAAAAAAACTAAATCCAGGGTAGCATTGTTTTCCAAACGATGTCTTTCCTTAATGATGGATGGATGGAGTCTCTCTGCTCCTGCTCAGCTCATGATCTTACATTTTATGCTTCTTGTGTTCACAGCCCCGTATGTGTTGAAGAAACTGGACAGCATATGAGTGGAGTTCCACAGCCCCTGCCTCCATCCACAGAGTTTCATCCTTCAGAGGCGGCGAGGACCTCCCCATGAAGCCAGCTCGGCCTGTTCAAGAATCACTCTGGAAAACCAGTGTTTTTCCCTGGCTTCATCAGAAACTCTTGCTGTTCTCATGCTAATATTGTGAACTTTGGTCTTCTTTTTTATGTTTAAACAGTGTGTAACATCTGTGTTTTTGTTATGGTTAGAATTATAAACTGTATTCATGCTGTTAGATTGAAAGCATCAAGTTAATTCTCAGTTTTTGTTATCCACAGTTTTAACTGTTATCTGCAATAGATGCATTATTGGAGTAATTGAGAATAATGTACAGTAAAGATATGCAGACACATAATTAGCAGATATGAAATATTAAAAACAATGATTCACCGTCTCTTGTACTTCTCTAGTCTTACTGCTCATGCAGAGATGTTTGTTAGGGCTGAAACAATAGGAAAAATCGTTTCAACTACTTTACTAATCAATTGTTAACTGGACTATAGATAGTCTAAAACATGCCTTTAGCTTATAGAGCAACTGACATCAAGCAGTAATTATACAAAGATTGTTTAAAAAAAATATATACATAAATATATTTTTTTTCATCTGTCAATATGTTCTATCCAGAACTGTTCAGGTGCAAAAGTTTTAGTTTTACCTGGTTTAATTTCATAAAAAAAATCTTCTTTAAGGGACCTTTGGCTATATGATTAATTAATAAAAATAAAAAAAACACCTTTGAACATGAATTAAATTGCAAAATAATCATTATTTGCAGCCCTAGTTGTTATTTTTTATGCATTAGTCAATAGTTTGCCCAATAAAACCAGATCTCAATAAATGATGCATACTTTGAATGTAACATCCCTGATCCCAACACAACAGAAAATGAAAATATTTTTTTCTAGTAGTTTATAAGTGGAAATAACTGATAATCAAAGATGTATTTTCTCTGATGTTGAGTAAGATATCTTAACAAAAAAAGTTACAGTACAAGACAAAAGGTTACAAATGCACCTCATCATTGTCATTGAAAATTATAGATGCAAAATAAAATACAAACATAAAGCTCTACTGATGGTTGCAAAAATGTCCCCCAGGAAGTTAGATCGTTGTCACTGACATACATGTGGCAAAGTTGGTTTCCTTCCTCACATGCAGCTTTGCGATACAGGTTAAGGTAGGGGCCATTCCTGTCATTGGTAGTCCCTAGTTAGACCTGTCAGAATGATGATAAAGTATGTGTACGTGCGCTGCAGCTACAAAAAAAACAACGATGCTCTCATTTTTAAGTCTAAAGCCTTAGAATACAGAAAGTTCTGAACTTTTTCCTCTTCTTCCCAAAAAATGTATTTATTTATTGTGACTCTTGACGATTTATAAAATTTAGGGTGTGTTTCAAATGAATGGCTGAAACTGATGCTAAGTTGAAGTATGCATAGCAAAAGCAAACACATTGGAATTAGTTGAGGACATCACAAATACTGGTATGTGGGCCAACAGATGTGTGTGAAAATGTATAAATGTTTATCAGCAAGAGCTTTAGGAAAATCTATTCTGTCTTCAGTGATTTCTTTAGAATATGTGGATGTTGTGCTCATTCATGTTCCCGTTGGTACAGTGTGGACTGACCATGAACTGGTTTACATTTATGGCCATCCCTCTGTATTCACCAGTTCCCTGCATGGCCAGCCCTGTGAAATGTGTGTGGCTATTTCACTGGCAGGGGATCAACTGGATCCCCTGGTTCAGCAGTCTGACCCAGTGTGTCACCCTTAGGGAATAGATTTTCTGTTCCTGGAAGAAGCCTACAGGGAACCTGGTTTAATATAAAGTGTCAATCAAGACAAAAAAGAAAAAAACAGAAACCAACCTAGATAATGTAGAAGAACAAAAAAAAAACTTTCGACTTTAATAGCTTGGGTCAAATTAATCTATTAGACAATTATTTCATGGCAGAACTAGTTTTATGGGGTTTGTTTTTAACCAAAGGTGCTGCATGAATATTATACTTGAACAAACACGCTTAATCATGCATATTTTTGTCATTTTGTTTTAAATAAGTGATATAGCTAAGCTATTTCTTTCAGAGGCGTAGCCAGAAATTTTTTATAAGGGTGGCCAGGCAATAACCAATGTAAACTGGGGGGTGGGTTAAAGCGGCTAGGCACCAGAACCTCACAGTCAATCTACACTTTTCCAACCGGAAAGTTAATTAGCAAAACATCCATATTTTCTAAATAAAGACAATCTTTTCCTACAGCCTTTACTAACAATTAGACGCATATCTTTAAAATCCGTAATTTCTAGAGAAAAGGTATAGTGGATAAAACTCAGTTTTGAGTTCTGGGGAGTAAATCAATCATCATTGGCATTACTTACCTACTTGTATCAATAAACATTCTGCATGAAATGGATATTTACAAGCACCAATATCTACATAAATTGATTATTTGATTTTTTTTTTTAATTTAAATTGCTATTTATCTTTGATTTCACTCAAGACTTCTAAATGTCTCCTAAATATTTTTCTTTTTACCCCATATAACACAAGATGTAGCTCTGAAAGAGCATGAATTCTGTACTTATCTTTGATGACCACAAAAAAACAAAACAAAAAAAAACCGTTTTGAATATTCCACTTGAGAGTATTACTGCTGCCACTATCTGTATTAGAGGGGGGGGAAATGGTAGGGGTGGCCAATGATTGGCTAAGGTTGGCCAGGCCCACCCCAGGCCCCCCATCTAGCTCGACCCCTGATATTTTTCTTCTATTAATCCATTTTGTTGCCACTAGAGGTTGTATGTCTACATAATCACCACAGGGGGGCAGTGTTGTGCAGCGGAAGGACGGGGATGCAGACAATGGATGCGATTATACGAGCGCTCTGAAACAAGTAGCGACAGAATTAAATAGATGGATGGGATTTAATGCAAACCGAGTGTTTCAGCAACAGCAGAATCCGCTTTTTGGCGCAGGTGACTTTATTCCTATTTTTGAAATCAAATGCAGCGCATCCTTCCCTGTTGATCCAGGCCCGCCCATAATCCACAGCATCTCCGGGAAAACTGAAAACAATCCGTTCATTATAAGGGAGGAAGGTGAGTCTGCTGATAAAGCAGCTAATAATAGGACGTGGATCGTTTTAATAATCTGCATATCATAGCCTGTTGTTTCTGAAACGGATGCTAGAATATCCTGATTGTCCAATTAGAAGCTCTGCTTGCTGTGATGGACTTCCCGGGTCATTTCCAGCACATTTTTAAACAGCTCAACCATCAGCGCCTGCACACCCAGCTATGTGACTGTATGGTGGTGGTTGGAGGTCAGAGCTTCCAGGCTCATCGCTCCATCCTGGCTGCCAGCAGCTCTCACTTCAGGGCTCTCCTTACCTCCAGCGATGAGGGCTCAGGAGCCCAACATGTGATGGAGCTGGATCCAGAGGTTGTGACGCCAGAGGCCTTCTCTACCCTCCTGGATATGATCTACACCTCCACCCTCACTATAGGGACCTCCAATGCAATGGATGTGCTCTTGGCTGCTTCCCATCTCCACCTAAATGCAGTGGTCAAGGCCTGCAAGTTGCATTTATCCAGGAAAAACTTTCCTGCCTCTGCACCGAAAGGCTGGAGGTCTGTGCAGCAAAGTCCATGCTCTGTGGCGGTAACAGTACCACAGCACCAGGTAACGTCAGCCACAGATGAGGACTCTGAGATAGAGGACATGGGGATGGAGGTGAGTCAGTCTGGAGAGGATGACATCAGAGGCATGGGGGGAAGTGAGCAACTAACAGCTCCATCTTTGAGACAAAAACGAAAGTTACATGAGGAGATACTGTGTGAAAAGAGGAGGATTTTCAGCTACAAGGAGTGTTCACCCACTGTGACCAGGAGCACAGAGGAAGGAGGAGATGATCTGTCATCATCAGGCTGCCTGAAGTCTACTGACAGGCTGTGGGACAACCTAGGTGATGAAGACGAGGAGGAAGAGAAATACGAGGCAGCCAAGGGGGAGTCTGATGAAATCCAGCTGCCCACTCAGTCAGACAGCAGCACAGCTGGAGAGTGGAAAATGGCTGAAGATAAAGGTGGCGACGCTGTGGTCAAAGTTCAAGCTGGAGAAGAGGAGCGGGATGAACAAAAAATAGTGATTGAGCTGAAAAAGGAAAATATAAGTTCATTTTCCAACGATTTTGATGCAGGTCCAAACAAATCTCCCCCGTCACTCTTGGAGGCACAGATCGGAGATGAAAAAATGCCCGAGGCAGAAGCCGGCGGTGGGACGTTACCATCTCAGGTGTGCGCAGATGTTCACACGGATATGCTGACTGGGAGCGGAGAGCTGGGTGGGGACACAGTGGAAGGGGAAGGCTTGGAGAGCTTCTCCGAACTCGCCTTCTCCTGCTTTCTCAATCCTAGTTCTGAAAGTGTAATGGGAGCTTTAGGAGAAGAAGATAGTCTGGCTAGTCTGACAGCTGCTGCGACTGCCGCCGCTGCCGCCAGCGACACGCCTACAGCCCCCGAAGGTGCAAATGCACAGAGTCAAAGGTTGGCAGAAGCAAACGCTTCCTCAATCCAGCCCTCGGATTCTTCATCACCTCTTGTTTTTCCTGTAGCCCCCGTCTCCTTGCAGCAGATTCTCCCAACTCAAAGCTCCGGATTCAGTGACACAATCATCCTACAACCCAATCAGAACTCCTTGACAGGGTTTCTGAGCAGCATCAGTCCAAGTCTCAGTCTGGACACCTCCCATGTCCAACCATCAAGGGCCGGGAAAAGCTCTGGAGCTCCGATTTTCCGTCGCATTGCCCCAAAAGTAGCTCCCGGATCAGAATCTTCCACAGATGCTCCCTCCGCATCAGCAGGTGATGCTTCAGAGAGGCCAAGTCTGACGAGAGCTTCGGAAGACGTCCTGTCCAAGTGTAAGAAAGCGGCCGCCGAGGACCACGTGCTGCTGGTGGAAGGGGAGAAGAAATACGCTTGCAAGATCTGCTGCAAGACCTTCATGAATCTGACAGACTGTAAGAAGCACATCCGCGTCCACACCGGGGAGAAGCCCTATCCATGTCCGAAGTGCGGCAAACGCTTCAGCCAGTCCTCCCACCTCTATAAGCACTCAAAGAACACCTGCATGAACTGGAAAGATGATCAGTCTTTCCCAGACTCTCTGCTCTAACTTGCACTAAAGACACCATCTGATGGAAATTGAATATTTATCCTTCATGAAACTCTTAATTTTTAGCTAATATGAAGTGAACAAAAATCATGCTTTTTTTTGTTTTCCTGTTCAATATTCAGCAATGATTTCCTGTTATTGGCCTAATGTGAAAGATTATAAAAATTATCACTTATTTTAGACCAGAATAGCTTAAAAAACATGTTAAACAGCTTCTATTTAATTTATTTACAAGAATTTATTAATTCTAAAAACAAATTTCTTTACATTTAAATTACATACAAGTTATTTTCTTCTAATATTGACCACTTCATGCAGGGCATGAGTGTTTTACTGTTTAATAAGTGCAGATTTGCAGCATTAATGTCTGAAACATTTATCAATTATCACATCTCTGAAGGTATCAACACAATGATTTAATATTTTAACTACACAATATCATGAAAGTTTAACACTATTTTCTAAAAAAATAAAAACAAAACAGGGTGAGGTTGGCCTTCTTTTCAAAAACTTTTCTAGATCTCCAATTAAGATCAAATCTGACTAGAATGACTGCTTCAGTGTTGCAAACATCACCTCCTATCTAACGTTTTCATTTAATGCTCATGTGGCACCGGAGACGCTGGAGGCACGGTGGTTGGTTTTCAGCACCTAGAAGGTGAGCTCACTGGGCATGTCCGAGCCCTGCAAACCCCCCAGCAGGTTCTGGGCCGTCAGCGCTGACATGATGCCTCTGGTGGAGTAAGTGGCACTGCCTATATGTGGTAACACCACTGCATAAGAACAAAAAGGAGACAAGAAAATGCCAAACATTTTTTTTTTTAAAGAAAATTGAACAAAATTGTCTTTTCAGGTAATTTCCTTTTTTAGATTTTGTCAATTTACAGCCATAAACTTTAGTGTTTTTTTAGGCGATTTTATTTAATGAACCAACACAAAGTAGAGCAGAATGTGAAGTGGAATTCAAATGTTTTAAAATTAAAAATAAATAAATGTACAACAGGTTGTATGTTTAATATTATATATTCAGCCTCTTTGTTTCCATCTTTTAATGAAATACTTGTTGCTCCATTTACAGCTGCTAGTCTCTACCAGCTCGTTTAAGTCCAGCATGACTGGATGGAGAGTTTGTCTGTGAAAATAAGATACAGACTTACAGTAGATCTCGATTTTGAAAAAGCAAAGGTGTAGCTGTAACAACCCCATGATTCGTCAAGGAGACGATTAGTGGTCTCTGGATCTCTGGAAAGTTAATATGTCCTTTAAAAAAAAAAAAAAAGTTTAAAAAGAGGGAGTAAACTTGTTTTAATGCAATATTTTTCTAAGTTCAACGTGCGGAAAGAAAGGCAGCCAAGTCAGTTCTCCTCCTCCTCTTCCATCTGTTGCCTGCACTCACGGACTACAGCTAATGCAAAGCTATTAAAGGTATAGTGGAGGATGTTTGTTTTTTGGGTGGATCATCTAAATAAGTGGTCCTCCTACGGTAATTGTCAATCATTCTGGTGATATGTTCATGTAAGGCCGTTCTAGGTGCCCCTCCACATTTTCACCTAAGCCTATGCCGAGAAATACCTGGCTGCCGAGAATTACCTCCCCTCTCGCACATTGATGAGAAAACGGATTGAAATATGAACGAAAAATGAATTTTCAAACATATTCTTAATGTATTCATTCTTCTTATGCATGGATGCCCTAAAATTTAGATTTTTGGTGGAAAGATAAAAATGAATGAATACGATTTTTACTTGTATGGAGACACATTCTAGTCCGATGAATATATTCTCTGCTCAGTGGATAGCATATCTCTATCATTCCGGACATAACGTGAAGAATATGTCTTTTTCATTCATATTTCAATCCGTTTTCTCCTCAATGTGCAAGAGTTTAGGGTGATGCTCTCTCCGATCACAGGGGAGGTAATTCTCGACAGGCAGGAATTTCTCAGCATTTATTTTTCCACCAAAACTCGCAATTTTAGGGCATCCATGCATAAGAAAAAAGAAAATATTAAGAATATGTTTAAAAGTTCCCTTTTTATTAATATTTCAATCCGTTGTCTCATCAATGTGCAAGAGTTTAGGGTGATTCTCGGCAGGCAGGAATTTCTCAGCATTTATCCGTCCACCAAAACTCAATTTTAGGGCATCCATACATAAGAAATAAGAAAATATTAACAATATATTTAAAAGTTCCCTTTTTATTCATATTTCAATCCGTTTTCTCATCAGTGTGCGAGAGCGGAGGTCATTCTCGGCAGCCAGGTATTTCTCTGCAAAACATCTTCTTTTGGAAAGTTAGCTTGTATGAGCGATGCAAACAGCAACTTTTAAACAGACCTTGTATGAGGAGAAATAGGCTCGTGCATGCTCTTGCGTGGGTTTAAAATACGTTCCCTCTCTGGAGCGGTTACAGGGTTGCGCATTTGCTTTTTTTTTTTCTAAAGTGGAGAGGGCGGGTATTTACAAAAATTTAAGAAAATCCTCCACTATACCTTTAACATCTAAATGGATGTTTAAACCATTCAATTATTAGGTCTATCTGTTTAACTCTGTTCCATGTTGTCAGAGTCATTGGACAGGTAGCATGTATTTTACAGTCTGCTAAAGTTCGAGTTCCTATTAATAGCTAAGTTTATTGCCCAAATGATCCCAGAACTGATTTAAACCTTAGTTAATAAGAAATTCTAAATCTCTGTCTACATGGATGCTATAAAATTATCTGATCATGACGTGTGGATACATGCACCAAGTGGTTAATCAGTTTAGGGGCAGGATGGCATGTTCATCCGCACATTACATGTAGGTCCGCCTCCTCCACCACAGATGAAGGTTAGGAGCAAAGAGAAAAACTTCACTGTGATGTTGCACACATGCAAAGTGGAGAAGATTTAACGCCATAGATCTAAATGGGTGCATAGAAGGGAATTGGACTGGCGATTGGAAAAAAACGCCTCGCTCTTTTGGAATAAACTATAGCAATGGTTTTTGTAAGATGTTTAACTGGTTTAGTCCAGGGCTGAAACAATTATTCTGATTAATTACGATTAATCGATTATTGGAATACTTGTTAACTAATTTAGTAATTGATTAATCGTAAATGGAATATAGAGACTCTAAAACTAGCCTTTAGCTGACAGATCGACTCACTTAGAGCAGTAATTATTGTACTGTAATTATGCTCTATCCAGAACTCTTCAAGTGGAAAAGTTTGAGTTTCAACTGCTTAATTTTGTTTAATATTGTAAAAAAGTCTTCTTTAGAATTTCTTTGGCTATCCGATTATCTATAATCCACGGATTAATCGATTTGCAAAATAATTGTCTTGTTTTCAGCCCTCTTTGCTTTGTTGCTATCCCAGATCCAAGTATTTTTATAAAATCTACTGTAATATCTTCTCTTACGATTACTCTGTATTTACCTCCAGCCTTCCACAGCATGATGCTGCCACTACCACATTTTTCCATACGGGTGGAACGATGATGAATTGTGTCAGTGAGAATAAAATCAGCTGGATGTGTGCAGATCATTTTCCCTCTACTTTACATGTCTGCACTGCCTCAGTTGGCTGCATTACATCAAATCCCTAAGGTGGTTGTGATGTGATAAAATGTGATAAAATTTAAATACCTTTGTAAAGCACCTTTCTACTTACCACAGTTTTTTAGTGTAAGAAGCGGGTGATCTGTTGGGAGCGGTTCTGGTGTTGTGACGTCCAGTCCGGCCGCGGCTATCTGTCCACCCCTCAGAGCGTCATACAGGTCCACCTGGTTCACCACAGCTCCTCTAAAACCAGGAACCCATCACGCATCAATTCTGATGTCACTTAGAAGCAAACACACCAGGGAGCGGCCTGGATTTGCATGTAAAGTCGTCAGCTCACGGTTTTTAGATGTTTACCTGCTTGAGTTGATAAAGACGGCCGTTTTTTTCATCTTGCTGAAAAACGCCTTGTCACACAGGCCCTGGGTTTCTGGTGTCAGCGAGCAGGAAACCACAATGAAATCACTCTCTGACACAAGCTTCTCCAGGGGAACTGTTTGACAAAAAACAGATAGGAATAAATGTAGAGGAAGGGAGCAGGCCGATGGTTAAAAATGCTTCAAACTTTTTATTATTCCCACTTTTATTGTTTCTTACCAAACTCTCCCTTCACCTCTGCAGCTTGGGCTTTAGCTGTCCTTCCAGTATACAGCAGTCTCTTAACTCCAAAGGGGATGAGTCTTTGAGCTATGGCCATACCTGATCACAAGGATTTTTAAAAAAATAGTCACGTTAGTTAAACAACTCAAAATCTGTCACATAGATCGTGCAACATAACAAACCAATGCGGCCCAGTCCAATGATTCCCACAGTGCTGCCAGAAAGCCCATAACCGCAGAGCCAGAGAGGTTTCCACGAGCTCCAGCCTCCACTGAGACAAAGAAAAAATACACTTATGTGATATTAATGTAGATTAAAAAAGCAATTAGCATAAATGACTGACAAGGTGAGGCTTACTTTTTGACCTCTTCCACTCCCTCTGGTAGCCGGCGAGCGGTGGCCAGGAGCAGGGCCACGGTCAGCTCTGCAGTGGCGTCAGTCAGGACGTCCGGAGTGTAACCCACACGAATGCCACTGTTGAAAGTTAAAAGGCTTTTATTAGTGAAAAGGCATAAAAAATTCCCTCCTAACAAGTCACCTTTCTGAAGCTCACCGCTTTTTGATCTCATCTAGAGCCAAGTGGTCGAATCCCACTGACATGGTGCTGATCACCTTCAAGTTTGGACCTGAATTAGAGAGGGAGCAGCTGAGATGTAGTAACTGATGAAGTGGAGGCTTTGAGAGCAGCCGCTTTTATTTGTTCTGTGGCAGAATAAACTGTAGTAGAAAAAAACGGAACTACAAGGAAGAAAAAACAGGATTTTTAAACTTTATTTTAATCTAAAATTTCCATTAATTTACATCAACCAATTCTCTTAGTATCAGTAAATGATTTCTACCCATCTTAAAAATTTATTACAAAACATACTGATGATCACGTATCCTTTCTGAACTACTTTTTCTGCTCCGTCATATAAAACCCCTATAAAGTACAATGACTGTTGCGGCTTTAGCATAAGGGAATGCAATCATTTCAGCAGTACAATTACTTCTGCAGCAAAGTTACCAACATCTATAAGCTGGCCATGTCGATCAGAAATGAAGCACAATAATTTAATAAAATAAACCAAGCAGGCCTTATTTAAATGAATTTAGAGAGTTTGTGTGAGAGTCCACAAGAACAAACTTTAACAGCATGAACTGAAAAACTGAACTGAAAACAGAATTTTTAATGTGAAGAGAGTTTGTGTGTATTTTGGGTTTTACATGTTTAACCGGAGTCAGAATGTTTGTAAATGAATAAAGCAACCCCTGAGTGCAGGCTTGGTGTAGCTGAAGAGCACAGGGCCCATTCTAACCAGGTTTGTGACGCCATACGATAAACACACATTTTCTTTTCATTTAAAGTCTCTGTTGATTTTCTGGTTTGTTGTATTTTTCCCCCTTTCTTTTCAACTACTTGGCAGGCAGTAAATGATTCAAATAAAGAGTAAAAATCTTTTTATTTTTTTTTTATTTTAATATACAAGTGGGCAGATTGAAAACTTGTTTAAACGCAAACCTGTCACTGTTTACCTACCTGTAGTGGTTTTGCTGCATTGAAACTAGTTAAATAAATATACACAAGTATTCTCCTGGAGGCTGTATTTTCAACTGACCATTGTCATTTGAGTGCAGGGGATGTTGTATTACTACAAAACAAATTTGAAGTTTGGTTAAAAAAAAACTTTTGAACCTCTGAATCAGTTTGTTTTCAATAAGAGTGGAACACCAGCTTTTAGCCTCGATATCCACCATTTGAGCTTAGTAGAGGGATGGATAAATACTGAAAGAATCATAACTTTTCTGTTTCCTGCTGTTGGAGCCAATTATGTTAAAACTATACCCATGTCAAAATCATTTACAGTTTCCCTGCCTAGCTAAGTTTTTTTTGGATGCCCCCAAAATCTGCATTTAAGTAAAATTCACTGGACTTTTATGGTCCAATGTGCTATTAAATCAAAAGAGAGAAACAGCACATAATATCAGAGGTGTCAAGTAACAATGTACAAATATTTCGTTACTGTAGTTAATTACACTTTTTAGGTATCTATACTTTACTCCATTGCTTATTTTTCTTCCTACTTCTGACTTTTACTCATTAGATTTTCACACAAGTATCTGTACTTTCTATTCCTTACATTTTTAAAAGAAATGTTACTCGTTACTCATGACTTCGGTTTAATATTTATTTACCGTCATGTGCGCCATCCAATGCAGATCATTGGCTCCATCCACATCTAGTGAAAACTAGTGTGATTGGATGAGTCATATAACGCAAACACTCATTGGTTAGCTAAAGGAAATCATCAGAAGCAAGCAGGTGTTTTTCAAACTGAAAATGTGAATTGTCTATGCCACGCTACAATGTGGGATTCAGAAAAAGATGTTGAAATGTCTGAAAGGTCGGACACAGGGGAGAGCGTATCAGGAGACGGAGGCCAACAAGACCTCCCTCATCCTTGGCCCTATCTCAAAGAATATTTTGAAAAAGTCGAAAAATTGAGCTTTCAATTCATATAGTGGCATCTGGCTGTTTTTTAAAGGTTACGTTATACTTTTAGACTTTAAGTAGTTTTTGAAGCACATACTTTTCCACTTTTACTTGAGTAAATAGCTCAAAGTTGATTCTTTAACTTTTATCAGAGAGTTTTTAAAGTGTAGTATCTATACTTCTACTTAAGTAACAAATGTGTGTACTTTTGACACCACTGCATAATATCAATAAAATTAACTTTTCTGGTTTATCTAAAGTTTTTCATTTAAATTTCTCTGTGACAATCTAACCTGTAAAACCTCTTTTAAAACTGACCACTTGCTTTTTGCCATCTGTGCTTAGGGATTTATTTGGACTCTTCTCATAAGGGGCCACACAAAATCCTTCAAAGGGCCACAAATGACCCCTGGAATGTACCATAGACACATATAACATACTATCCACCAATCATTAATTAAAATCAAGGCTTAAAGTGGAGGACTTTGTTATCTCCTATCTGAGGAAAAGATACCTGCAGCATCCAGAACCTCAGCATCGATTTTATCAGACAGCAAACACACAAGGCCGTGAGCTCCCTGGACCCCTTTGAGAAGCTCTGCCCTGGGGACGGGTTCATCTGAGTCCCACTGAGACACCTCACACCTGTTCCACAGACAGAGGGGAAGGTGAAAATGAAAGTGTCACCAATTTAAATAAAATAGATTAAAAAATGAGGAGGAACAACACACTCACACTGTATATTAACTGTAAAAAGATGATAAAATTAAGTTTATAGGATAACATTACCTGTCTGACAAAATGACAGCTAGATATGCTTGGTCTAAAATAATGCTGCTTAATGTTAACCGTTATAATCTTACACTCCAGTGGCTCCTGACAGGATCTTCATTCCCTCCTGCGGGATGCGCCTCGTTATGAAAACCTTCATCAGTTCGGCCGCTGCTTTCATCCCAGTTCAACAACCGACGGAACTTATAGTCCTGTGAGGGTAAACAGCGGCTGAATTGTGCAACTTTTTTTTAAAAAAATGTAACCTTCGCTCTGCAGCAAGACTTCTGGAGGCAGGAACAACGCAGGAAGTGCTGCGGTTGATCCTAGTGCGCATGCGCGGAGGCTCTAATTATAGAGTTCAGCGAAATACATTGAATTTCTTAGATCTTAACTATAGAAAGTTTAGATGATTGTATTCAATACAACATGTATAACGGTGCAGTTAACGTGACCGGTTTTAAGCTCAAATCCCAATTCCAAAGAAAGTTTTTTTTTTTTTTTTGTACTATATAGCCTACATAGGAAAGTAAGACAATCCTAAATATATGAGCATTAAAACTCATAAGTATTTATTATTTTTGGGCATACCAATCCACTATTATTCTTACACTTTTAATGAAACTAAACTGCACATATTAAATTTGGAGATAATTTAAAGAAGTTCAACCATTTAAAGGACACCTTAAATATGATGTTTTATTAACTTCTTAATTTTTTTTACTACCGCATTTTTCCTTAAAAAAAATAAATTTTACGATTTTTTAACCCCATTACTACTTTTTGTCCACTGATATAGAGGCAAACACTACTTTCTACTCTGAACATAAATTGTCCTTAGTAGCAGAGGCGTACCCAGAACATTTTTATAAGGGTGGCCAGGCCACAACCAGCGTACACTGAGGGGTGGCCGAAAGCGGATAGGCGCAAGAAACTCAGGGTCAATCTACACTGTTGCTACAGGGAAATGAACAACCACAGCATCCACATTTTCTAAATAAAGACTAACTATACTTTCCTACAGCCTTTGCTAACAAATAGACGCATATATTTAAACATCCGTGCTTTCTGGATAAAAGGCATAGTGGATACAATTCTTTCAGGTTTGAGTTCTGGGGCTAATATCTCTTCCTTTGTCATTACTTACCTACTTTTATCATCAATTATTCTGCATTTAATTGATATTTACAAGTGCTAATATATACATAAATTGATTTTTAAGTTTTTATTTAAATTTTTATTTATCTATGATTTCACTGATGACTCCTAGATTACTTTCAGAGACACATCATTTTCTCTTTACTCCCATAACACAAAATCTAGTTCTGGAAAGAGCATGAATTTTCATCTTTAATGTTAGTACATTGATGTGCATAATTAACCACATTGTTAATATATGAAAAATTAAAATGTTTTGAATATTCCATCCATCCATTTTCTGACACACTTAATCCCAAGTGGGGTCCCAATGGGTGCTGGTGCCTATCTCCAGCTGTCTATGGGAAAGAGACAGGGTACACCCTGGACAGGTTGCCAGTCCATCGCAGGACAACACATAGTCAAACAACCATTCGCACACACACTCACACCTAAGGAGAATTTAGAGAAGCCAATTAACCTAACAGTCTTTTTTTTTTTTTTTTTTGGACTGTTGGAGGAAGCCAGAGTACCCGGAGAAAACCCACGCATGCACAGGGAGAACATGCAAACTCAATGCAGAAAGACCCTGGGCCAGGAATACAACCCGCAACCTTCTTGCTGCAAGGCAGCAGTGCTACCCACTGAGCAGCCCGTGTTTTGAATATTCCACCTGAGAGTATTACTGTCTATATTAGAAGGGGAAAAAATGGTAGGGGTGGCCAATGATTAACTGGCCCCCCATCTTGCTCCGCCCCTCCTTGGTAGGACATAGTGGTGGCGGCATTAAACTGTGGGAATGCTTTTTTTTTTTTTTTAGCAGATTTAATTACAGACCTAAGTCCGATAAAAATGTGCTTCAATGACTGATGTTTTCTAACAATCTGGTGCATAATGCAGTGAAATTGTGCAGTGGGCTAAATACAAATACACGCCACACCCTTCAGAAATGCACATGCTGGGAAAAAAAACAAAACAAAACAAAAAAAAAATTTTTTTTTTCGAAAGATAGAGAGGGATGTGCGTGTGTAGTTTCTTTTACTTTCTTTTTTTTTTAACTCTCTCTCTCTCTCCTCCCACTCTCTCCCCCCCTCTCTCGGGTGTAAATGGTCTATCTACAGCAGCAGAGGGCGGAATAAGGAGCTCTGGGTACGGAAGACATACCCAGACGCCAAAACAGGAAATTAGAGCGGAGGACCCAGTCTGGAAAGGTAGGAAATGGGCTTATTTCTTGTAACTGATCCTAATTCCTGCTGTCTTTGGGCTGTAGTCCCCAGCAGCAGCAGTAAAATCTGCATCGCTCACAGGTTGCGCTGCTGATTTGTTGCGCGTTCTGTTGGTGTGACGAACCTCAGCTACTTGGAGCGCACTGTGTTTATATCACTCTGTTTAAACAATAACATCGAAATGATTCTCTATCAACATGATCGAGGCATCAATTGGGTAATTTATTCTATTTATTGCAGAGGATGCTCCGCTTTTTACACATAGATGGGCAGCAGACCACAGTACACACTGTGCTTTGCATGAATAACGGGGAAAGCTGCCCATAGGAAACTCTGTATTTATTGTCATGTGTTGATATAAATCGCCTTGTTACTTTCGTTCTCTGATACTTAATGTATAAGTGATCCTTTTTTATTTTACTTCCCTGTAATTGTGAACTGTTATTATAATCATGGTAATAGATAGAGACAATATCCGTTTTAAAAAATCCAAATAGCAGAAATTGTCAAAAATAGAGTTCAGTCATAATTAAATAATCATTTCACTCACTATATACATTATCTGTATTGCTTTACACTTTAATCATCAGTATCACTCCTTGGACACTCTGCTGATGCTCAAATGCAACCTTAATAGGAGTCAGTCTAGTAATTGCAGCTGATATATTTGCATTAGGATTGTAGCCCCTAATGGATGGAAACTTCTAAGAGTACAATAGGTTAATGTTATATTTAACCTATATTATGCGGTTGTTGATCCTGAGGCTTAAACTCACCTTTCTGGAAAGTTGTCCAGCAAGTTTAGAAATAAAGTGCCATGGAAAGGTTTTTAGTATAGAGGGTGCAGTGATTAGGTTTTTATCACCCATTCCTATTTCTAATTGCATTTGATCTCAGTTTTCTGGTTTTGACGATAAAATAGAACAATAAACTTCCCTGCAGGCTCTTTGGTAGAGACATACAGTATAACAAAAAGAACTCAACTAAAAAAAAAAAGTTTTTCTACTGCATTTTTGCACCATATATATTTGTCTTGAAATGCTCTGAATTTCCATATCAATGCGTTTTACACCATCTTTTTCTCCCACGCTGTTTACATTTGATCACTGCTGCAGTTTATGAAATGGAAATGTTCATTTCACTGCTAGGCTGCTGCTCATTTACTCTCTGAAAGCTCTACAAAACAAAATTTCATTTTACATACACTCTGTGTATAAAAATGACAATTAAAAGTTGTCTAAGTCTATTAATCTTTATGCATTAACACTACTGCTTCCTGATGATAAGAAAACATAATGTGATATTATTGTTGAATGTTGCAGTCGTCTCTTAAATCCATATGTGATCATAAAGGACAATGCAAGCTTCCAAATTTAGTATTGAAAAAGCAGTTTTACTGGAAGAGACCTAAAATAATATTTATTTGATTAAATGTTGGATCCAAGCCTCCCCTTGCATTTTTTTTATAGTGCACAGACTGGTATTAGGAGGATGATTGTGTTATATACTATACACTTCTAACCGTACGTCTCTAACCTTTATTTGAACAATTTTAGTAAAATAAAAGGGCAGCAAACTACATTATGTTGGTCGGTGTCTTTGTAGCTCATAACAGTAGGAGTTAGTTTTATTCACCTTCATTGAATATCCTAAGAAAAAGCTATTTTCCTGCTGATCATTGTTCTGAGTGTATTCTGATCATTGGGTGGGAGATAATAATAATTGATCTTACATTGGAGAAATATACCTCTGCATTTAACCCATCCCTTTAGGGGAGCAGTGGGCTGCTATTGTGCGGCCCCCGGAGAGCAGTGTGGGGTAAAGGGTCTTGCTCGGAGACCCAGGGTGGCAGTCTGTAGGAGTGGGGCTCAAATTTAGAACCTCAGGATTCCAAGCTCTATGCCCTAACCACTAGGCCGCTGCTCCCCAATACCTACCTCCATTATTCTCTACAAACATGTTTTCTATCGGCAGATGATCATATTAATCCTAAAAGGCTGAAAGTTATTAGTTCTGTCTACAAAAAATGTTTAATCTTAGTAAACAGCCTACATGATAAAAAAAAAAATCTGAAATATTCAAGAGGTGGCATATTCAGGATTACATTGTTGTTAATGCCATCCTCAGGTTAGATTCTTACAATGTTTCTTGTATCATTATTGAAAAAATGTATCTATATAAATGTATCTAATGTTTATAATAAACCCCAAAGCATGATGGAACTACCACCATGCTTGTACATTCAGGATTGTTAAAACAGACATTTTTTTTATGATATTCTGACCTCTCTTAGGTGAAGGCTATGTTTGCAGGTGTGGCTTTATAGTTGACAAGTGCTCCAACACTTTCAAAGTCTGATTATTGCCGCTAAGGACTTTATCTGTTAGGAAGGGTATCTGTTGGACCTATTACAGATCAGGTTCCTCTTCCGGTTTGCTGTGAAGGTTTTCTTGTTTCCACAGACCTCATCTGCTTCATGTACAGTAGGAACTTAGTAATGTAATGTTTTCTGACCTCTCCTAGCTTCATCCAGCTGTCTTTTTTCTCTTTTATAAATATTGCATTAGGTTTAGAGAAAAGTCAGCAGACATGTAGCAATTAATTATCCAGAGATCATATACGGCCAATTTTCTCCTGGTTGGATGATCAGTAAATCAAATTCGGACAAATTTAATTTTCTAGAATTTCAGCAAGATCTCCATCAATCTTAGACTGAAAATCCAACATGTAGCTAGTTTAAAATAAAAAATAAAGGTATAAAATATAAGGTCTGCAACTTCTGCTTTGATGCATAAATTGAAATGATCTTATGATATCTTTGTTTCTTTTTCAAACCCTTTCCTTTATCAAATGACGACTGCCTGTTTAACAGCTTTTATATGTTCTAGTTAGTAGAATTGGCAGGTCGCACATGAAGAAAATGAATCGTTGGTATTAGCCAGGGCTTTATATATTTCTTGTGAGCATATTTCTGAGAATCGTGGTGACAGCTTGTGAAAGAAGTTCTGAGAAGAAGGAGATGCCTGAAGCAAACTGGCATCATCTGATCTTTCAGAAATAACAAACCATGTCTGCACCACATTAATTACTCTGGATTTTTTCGTTTCCACTCATAAAAACTCTGTCAGCTTAATTACTTACATATTACTTTTAATTGAAATAAACATTAAGTAGCTTCATGCATTTTTCCCCATCTCAGTGCATCTAAATCAATTCTTTTTACAGAGAAAAAAAAAGTTAAATGGAGGTGCCCAGACATAAGCTGTATTTTCTTATGATCCCATGATGACAAAAACAATGAATTAGCTCTTTTCAAAGCACTGGTAGTTTAGTATTTAGTGTAAAAAGCACACCCAAGCATATGTTTGGCCAAGAAAGTTATTTATTGGATGTAATCTAATCTTGTTATCTGTTTGCCATCAGGAAAAAATTGCCCTAGCACCAACGGTTTGCTGTTGGCTGAGGAACCTGCAGAACCTGTCTGGACCTGCAGGAAACCACTGGTTTGCTGGAGTAAGACTCTAACTGTGCAATGGCTCTGCTGACCTTGCATAGGATCCCTTCCATCTCCACCGCTCCGGTGAGGATCTAGCCGTCCACACGTCTCTCTGTACATAAAGTCTCCCCAGATCCCCAGCTGTTTCCTTTATCTGCATATAGATCAGAGCTTTGTTTGGGTGAAAACGCTTAAGGCTGGTGTAAAAAAACAAACAAAACAACAACCACTGAATGTGTCCCTTTGTGGATACCAGCACAGAGTGCACTTGGAAGAGCATTTAATTTCCCTGATAAGTCAGACAACAGATATAATCTAGGAAACCACTTATTAAAGTGAATGAACAGCCTTATTTCTGTGTGAATGCTTTTTGAGGCCTTTAAACAAATGCATATAATCATGTTAACACTTAATCATTAGCAACTGTCTGTCTATCTTCTCCCTTTCATCTCTCTCACACTTTCATGAAAATAATGTCAAAAACTGTTCTGTTCTTTATCATTGTCCGCTAAACCATAGATGACTTAAGTCTGGCTCCAAGTCTCATTCTTTGCATATTTTGTCACAGAATCTGATCACCAACTATCTTAACTTGTTTTCTCCTTCTTTTTTTTTTCCTTCTTCAACCCCCTCCTCATCGTTCCTCTCCTGGCTCCTGCCTACTTCTCTTTAATTTTCTTTTCTTGACTCTGTCTGGACTTGTCAGTTGCGTAAAAGGTAACGTTACTGTCTCATGTATTTTCTTTTTCTTCAGTGCTACTGCTACTTCTCTTGTTTCTCACTCCTTTTCTATGTTCTTGCATCATGTATCTTCTTTACATTTCTTCTTCTTCTATGATTTTGAACTTTATTTGGTTGCTTTAATCCCACCTCCAGCTCTTGTTTTTTTTTTTTGCAACGCATAGATCTAAACAACTTGTGATTGTTTTATACCTTTACATGTGTAGTGGAATAACATGCAGAAATGCTGCCACATTTGTTTGTCTTTAACCAGAGACATACCAGTGGAAAGCATTTGAAACAATGGGAATTGCTGTGCAAGACTTTTTTTTTTATATAAACACAACAAATTAACATTTTGCCTCAGTATGTAGAATTATATAATCTGCAAAAAAATGGCATTGGTTTTAATGTGGGGTAAATATTTTTTCATTTCCTAAATGACGGATTTCTTCAAAGTCAGAAGTTTACGTCCTGTAAGGTAATGATTACTCTAAGCAAACTGGGAAAGCCTTGATAATGATATCATATAATTCAAATTATGAAAATTGTAATGATTGGATTGTTTTATGGCTTGATTCAAACACACTTACTGGTGTGTAAGGATTGGGAAACCAGAAAGGGAATCGTTCACCCCTATAAATCGGGTTACCACAAAAGAACAATTTCAAGATTCCTGAGGTTGTCACAATAAACTGTTCTGACAAGCATAAACAACTTGGGAACATCCGTCTGCCTGAGATTAATATGGGTTCTGTGTCCCACAAAACATGTTTCGGTGCAAAATGTGTAACTGAAGTCCAGCTGCTTAGAGAATCACCCTCCTTTACCAGCATGGGCTAAAATGTCATTCATTAAGGAAGAAGCCTATTCTGCAAAAAGATTTTTTTTTACCGTAAATGGATCCTTGGCTGGTCCCCTACAATTCCTTTTAAACATCAATATTTGTACTAAAGTATTCTTTCTGTCATGATTTGTGGACATTTAGATATAAAGAGAAGTGTTATCTCCTGGCTCAGACCCTGTAATTCAGTGAAAGGGTGGAGCCAGAGTAAAAAAATATGCAAGAGGGGGTCACTCCAGTGGCTGGAAGTTGGAGGGAAGTGGGCTGCCATTTGGCTGGGGTTTGACTGGAAAGGGCCATTTTGAATGGCTGCTACTGAATATGTGAGGTACAGAGGTGGCAGCATCATGCCTCTGATTGGTCTTCCAAGTGAGCAGAGACCCTTAGCACACCACCAAATTTAGTCACAGTGTGGCTTAACGACAAACAAAATGTTTTTGTGTAGCCATCACAAAGAGCTGATCTCAGCCCAATAGAAAATATGTGGGCAGAGCTGAAAAGGTGTGTGCAAAGAAGGTTGCAAAAACAACCCGACTGAGTTACACCAGTTCTGTGAGGAGGAACGGGGCAAACTTCAAGCAAACTGTTGTCAGAAGCTTTTGAAAAGGATCTCCAAAACATTTGACTTTGGATGGTTGACGGTAGTGGTGTAACATATCGTAAACTTCTGAGTTTTAAGAAATTAATAAATATAATTATAAAAAAAAAAATAATCATGAAAGGGGAAAAAAGGGTTAAATTATACCTATCCAAGAGGGAGAGTCGGCCCTGGTGTCATAAGTGCAAAACACTCCACTGTAAAGAGGTCAAATATCTGCAGGGGTATTAGAGACTATATATCTATATATATATATATATATATATTACTGTTCTATCTCACTAATGAATTTGTATGTATTTTGAAGGATGAAGGCCTCCAAAAGAAAGGACGACTTCAGAAAAGGTAGGTCTTTACCAAATTTAAATAATCCTAACATAGTTTTTTGAAGGTAACCATGTTAAACTAATTGTTCTCCATGTCCAGAGAGAGTTTCGCTCTGGTTAAAGGAGCGGCCCTCCTACTGGAAGATGGCGACGTTGGTGAGCTGGAAGAAGAAACTTCTACTGACGACGTATCTCCTGTGAAAAAAGAAGCATCAGGCACGCGGCTCAGACACCTCCACGCCATGCTGGAACAGCTCAGACCAGAGGACACCATCAAGCTGGTGAGCCCTGGTGCCAAATGCATGTTACATAATGTGATTTAAGCCAAAAAATATAAAAAATTAAGGCATGGGGAGAATGTAGTTTAAAAATCCTACTGTGAAGATACTAAAAATGCAGGTTTTGGTCTTATGTTTGCATTGGAATTGATAAAAATATTTATAATTTATAGTTATGTTTAAAAAAAAACTTTGCTAATGATAATTAATTTGTACTGTAATAGTTAATAGTTATACTTTATGTTTTCATATTTATATTTGATAAATAAATTCAGGGGCAGTTTGCTGGATAGTCCAGAACTTTCTCAGGCATTTCATTAAAAGCCCTTACATTTTAGGAAAGCTTTGATGGAAATTTTTAGCAGCTTTGAGTCGATATCTTAAAAGAAACAACAACTTGGGAATCACAAATACCGTTACATTTATAAGAGGTTTATAGCACCTGCTGCTGGAGGCAATTCAGCTTAGATTCTCTTTACATCTGTGTTCAACAGTGTGACACACTTTCAAGATAAAACTGAACCAAGAAAGACAGAAAACAAGGATTTGTATTATTTCCTAAACAATCTGCTCATATTTTCTAGTTTTCGCAGTCAGATAAATGTTTATGCTTCTATCAGGCCTCGTGTTGCATGTGAAGGATTTTTATTTTTCTGCACTGACTCGTCCTCTGTCACGTAGGCGGTGGAGCTGGAGTCGATCAGCACTGTCAGAGTCAGGTATCTGATCGTCGTCTCCACGCTGGCAAGCAAACAAGAGAGCATTCTTCTGGGCATTGATTTCCCCAGCTCAGACAGGTGACAGTAACTCAGATGCCTATTGTAAAAACAGCCTACTGGTTTGCGAATCTAAAATTTTGTCTCTTTGCAGCGATCATTGCACCATCGGCCTGGTTCTGCCGCTGTGGAGCGACACACAAGTCTATCTGGATGGAGATGGGTAGGAGATATTTAAAAGATTTAGGAAGAGAGAGAACTGAAGTGAAACCAGCCTGCAGCCTTGTGTCTGGGTTTCCTTCCAGAGACAACTTGTTATTCATAGAGTCGACTCATTTGCTGTAAATTCCACATGCTCATTCTCACTCAGGCTCTTACATAAACATGAAGCTCATGTGTTCGGGGAGAGTTCAGCTGCTGAAAGCTGTGTTAAAAGCATCTAGTGTCTAAATGTCTGCAGAGAGGCAATGTGAAGCAGGGCTAAACATTCAGGCTCACATGGTGTGAGGACTGAGCCTGCTGTGTATTAACTGATCACCCTTCACATGCTGAGTGTAACACTTTGGTTTCAGCCCTCATAAGGCCGGATCACATCTCACACTGAGTCGCCTTTTCTCCTATCTCTCCTCCCTCACATTTGCATTTTTACGTTATTTACCTGAATTGTCACTTATGCCTGCTGAATATTTTCCTTTCCCTCGTTCTAGCCGGCTGCATTTTTTCCCAGTAATTGGCTCTTATCAGATGTTTTCTTCCATAACGCTCCTTGACTTGTTGCTTTTCTCAGGAGCTCATTATCAGAGCTCATATCTGTGTTTTTTGTTTTTCTTTTTTTGCAGTGGTTTTAGTGTGACGTCAGCAGAGGAGACCAGAAATTTTAAACCCGTTTCCATGCAGACCATGTGGTGAGTGCTGCTGACACAAAAGAAGTAAAAACCATAATGATCAGGTATCTTAGGGAGTGTCGAGGGACGAGGAGGCGCTCGGATTTCAGTTTTTACCCTCAGGCATTTTAGCCCTTTTTATTTCCCACTAGTTCTCAGAAAACTGGGAACAAACTGGAATAATAAAAAAAAGCCTATCATCACAACTATACTCTCTTCTTCAGGTTTTCTCACACCTTATGTTCACAAATGGTCCAGCACATTGAGACATATTGGTTGCAAATTTCCTACTTCTGAACAAGACAAAAGAAACCGTTTTCATCAATGAAATTTGTTTGTAATGAAATTAGAGGTTTGTTAGGCTCCAGTTCTGCTCACTTTTACCTGCCTGCCCTCACATGGCAGGTACCAACTTGTCAGATCGCTCCAGTCCAACTAGCACCTAAAAACAACATCTCTTGTCCTGCTGATGCTTATAAAGCTAGTTGATAATCTCTTGTCTGAAAAGTGCATTGGTTTGAAGACGTTTTGCTTCCCATCCCGGAAGCTTTTTCAATTCAAAATGTCAGAAACAGCGTTGAGTTCAAGGCTCTATAGAGTGGACCAAATCAAAGCCTTGTTTTTTTCTTAGAAAACATGCAGTTTTCTTTTTTCTTTTTTTCTTTACAGGTTTGGAAATCTAATTTAGAATCCAGTGAAGTTAATATATTAAGTAAAGTAACCTTCATTTGTCTTTTCTTTATGAAGACAGAGAATAACACCAATGAAAGAAAAAGGAGCACCACTTAGTCGTGGATACTTTCTCCAGGGGTTATAGACTTTTCTAAATTAACACCTCAGAGATGACTGGCTAAACCTTACTCTTGCTGCTGCTGTTATAGGTGGCATTGTTGGGTTTATTACCCAATCTTCTTCTAAAAACAGCTGAAGCTCAGCTTCAATGGAGAGAATCATACAAGCTCTGTAGATAACAGTCATTGTCCTGCAAAATGACGGCCCTCTTGTCCCCTTCTGTTGCTGCTTTCAGCTTATTTAGATGTTAGTTTTTCTTTGGTTTGTAAAAAAAAAAAAAGAAGAAGTTTAAGGGGTGTGATTACTTTCTCAAGGTACTGCCTTTTGGTAATGGCTGTGCTTCTTTCTTAAGACCTGATCTTTCTACCTTGTCTCTGTTCCCTTCAGGTCGATCCTACAGGTCCTGCACGGCTGCTGCGAGCGGGCAGTCAAAGCAGCACTAATCCCAGGCTGTGGGCTGGAGTGGGCCCAGCACTACGCCCAGCACATTGAGTCCGATCGGTTCTGCCTGAACGAATGGGAGGCCATGAATGACCTGGAGTCAGTGCGCCGGGACAGTAGTGGACAAAGGTTAGAGGCTTGTTTCTTTTTATTTTATTTTCTATTTAGATTAGTCATCTGAAACACTTCTGCAACCAGAGGTGGAACAGGAAACTATCTGCATTTTATTTACTGCAAAGTTGAAACAGAACCATCTAAAAGTGCAGCACATCAAGAAGTTAATGCTTTAGCACAATCAATTTTCAGTTGTAATCTTGCTTAATATTTGGTTTGAAGTTTAACATGTTTTATCCTTTCATGCAGTTATATAAAATGAGTAAAAAGTTGTTCTGTTCCTGTTTTGCAATGCAAACAGACTGTTGTGGTAAAGCTTCTTATTTTAAATTTTTAAAAAGCTCTGCAGATAGAGTTTCCAATGAAAGGCTAATCAAAGAGAACCTGAGAGACATCATGAGGACTGAAGATCTGGACAACCTCACGTCTAAAATGGTAGGATGCTTGGTTAGAGGGCAGATAGTAGATCTCAAGTAGACCAGCAGGGTGCTTGAATAGTAGTGAATGGATAAATGTATGCTTTATTTAAGGTTTCATTTGTTTCTGCAGGTGCACATTGCTCTGGAGACCAGGATAGGGTTTGACATGAGACCCTACAAGGAGTACATAGATAATGAGATCTTGGTTACCATGGCTCAGATGGACAAACCCTCGAAAATATTTGATTACCTTTACTTGGTGAGTAAAGCTGTTGTAAACCTTACCGCAGTGAAGAGGGCTTTCCCTCCATAGGTCAATATAAAGGCAGAAGCGAGGATGTTGTCACATGACTCCAACTTCCTCTTTGTGTGAGATGGTGTGCTGACAGTGATAGGGAAGACGACTCTGCAGGCCGTTTCCGCCTTCCTGTCTTTTTCACTAACTTGTTTTAAACTATCTATTTTCAGGGCTCTGAGTGGAACGCAGCTAACTTTGAGGAGCTGCAGAAAAACAAGTTAGTGTGTGTTATAGTGTCTGTAAATGTGTCTGTCTCCTGATGTTTCATGATGAGTTTAATTCAGAAGTATGAGTTTTTGTCTTTGCAGAGTCACTAACGGTGACTCTGCTTCTGTGTGCTTCTCAGCATTGGCTACATTCTCAATGTCACAAGAGAGATTGACAACTTTTACCCAGAATCCTTCACCTACATGAACATCAGAGTGTACGACGTGGAGGCCACCGACCTGCTCTCCCACTGGCCGGACACATACAACTTCATTAACTCTGCAAGGTGGAGCTGATTCGCAAGTTTAAAACCCTTCATGACTCACAGTTTAAATTAAAACATATTAGATGACTTCTAGGGCTGAATGATTGTCAGGAAACATGGTCTGCGTGGTTTCCCCGACCCTCTCCTTCATGGTCAACAACCTGTGTGCAGTCCTCACAGAGATCCATTTTATGATTATTCTAAAGCTTATTTTAGTGTAAAACTTACTGAGCCCCTAAAGGCACACTGAAGAAAAATAAAAAATGTTCTCTTGCACACCAGTTATAGTTTTGCAAAGTAGATGCTGCAACGAAGAGGTCTGGTTCTCCTAAGTTAAACGCCTCTTGGATCAAGTTCTTTTAATAAGGCCTGTACTTATATATTCCCTGTACTTACTGTATAAAGAACTTTTTTAATTCAGGAAACTTGACCAATGCACTTTACACTACATTCAGTCATTAATCCATTCATTCATTCATTCATTCAGACACTGATGGTGGCAAACTACATTGTAGCCACAGCTGCCCTGGGGCTCACTGATAAGCTAGGCTGCCATACATTGGCACCAGCGGGCCCTCTGACCACCATCAGTAGACAATGCCGGTGAAGTGTCTTGCCCAAGGACACAACTACAATGAAAGCCAAAGCTGGAGCCCTCCAATTGAAGGCCAAACTCCTGCACCTGAGGCCACAGTCACCCCAGTGGCACAGACCTCTAATTTTTTACCTTTAATCCATTTTCCAGAAATTTTTTAAACATCCATCTCTATCCGTGCAGTTGACCAGTGGTTTGCAAGTGTGTGTGAATGAACATAACAACATAATCAATGTTTGTGTATCCTCTGGACCGAAATAGACCACAAAACTTCAGGATACCTTTTAAGTGACGTTCAGACACAACATAATGGTGACATCTTGCATGCAATGCAGCAATGTCTTTGTATGGTAGCCCAAAATGAAAATATAGTCTAATTAGCCATGTACATCCATTTTTAAGAATGTTGTCCGAAATATGCATGCGTTCGCATGATAAAACTAACTGGTGCACAGGAGAAAGTATTTGGTGTGCATGAGAAAATAAATGGTGCCTACATTACCAACTGGTGCACACGAGAAACTATCTGGTGTGCACCAGAAAGTATATGATTTACACAAGATACTTTCTGGTGCACACAAGAAAGTTTTTTTTTTTTTCCTTCAGTGTCCCTTTAGGGGCTTTGTAAAAAGAATAGTACAGTATTAGTGCAGAGTTTTCTAAACGTTTCAGCCTGTGACCCACAAAACTGTACTAAAATATATTCTCAGTATTGACTGAAATACCATAACTTCTAAAGATAATAATAAAAAATATTAACCATAGTAATAAAAGCGTAATGTTAACAAAACAGACCAAAATTCCATTAATTTAGTTTTATCCATTTCTAAGTTGAACTTTAACATCTTTAAACACATAAATATGCTTCATCATGACCATTTTCATTGTGTTGGATAATTTCTTTAAAGGATCTCAATTAATTGAGATAATTGTAATTGTTGTTCGATGACTCTGAAAGGGGCCCTGACCCTCACTTCTGGAATTTGTGTATTGGTGAAATGTATGTGCATATTTAAGCGTGTATTGAAATGTTCTGCTTTATCAGGATCAGGGAAAATCCACAGTAAATTAAACATGACATGTTTTTAACCTTATTTGACCCCAGATTCTAAATCAGTTGACATATTTCCCTTTTCTTTTTTTACTATTATATCTGCTTGCTGTTTTTTATGCATCTCAACATTTGGCTGTAAATCTAGTAAATGATTAGGACAGATTTACTGCTATAACAGATCTGGTGGAAACATACTTGCATGCAAGTCTGCTCCCATGAAATGACAACTAAAAGAACTGTTACCGAGAAACCTTTCATTTAAAGGAGCAACCGCTCATATTGATGATGAGGTTTCTGAGTTGTTAGATGTAGCTGTTAGGGATTCATTCATGAATTTTTAAAGCCCTTTGATGAGCAGAAAAATATCCCTCAGAGAATAGGGCAGTCAGCCCGTTAATGTTTATCACATTTGGGTGAGATGTGTTGTAATCTGGACTTTGTGCTGAGCTTATTTGGCACCACAGTAAAAGTAGATAAGTTCTGAGGCACACTTTTGATTAAATATATCATGAAAGTCAAAATTCTTGATCTTAATCACATTTTTGTTTTAAAAACTTTAGATTTACTCCTTTTGATTCTGTCTAAAAACATCAATTCAACCAAAGTCTCTTTGTTGGAGTCAAAACAAAAAGCTGTTAAAGTCGACAGTTATTTAGTCTTTTTTTGTCTTTTTCCCAAATCTACAAATACAGCATATTTGAGCTAAAGAACTGAGAGAGAAAAAGGAAGCTTCTCCATTTTCTAGTTTTGTTTTAACGTAGAAAGTCTGATGTTTGAAGATTTCCCCATCAAGCAGCAGTTCTCTTCCACATGTGCTGCCCTTTGAACCCCTGAGCGATTACGCCTCATTTGTGCTTCACAGGAAGAGTGGTCAAGCGGTGCTGGTGCACTGTAAGATGGGCGTGTCCCGATCTGCATCCACTGTAATCGCCTACGCCATGAAGCAGCAGCGCTGGTCTCTGGATGAGGCACTGGCCTACGTCCGGGAATGCAGGTCTATTATCAAACCCAACGACGGCTTCCTGAAGCAGCTGCAGACCTACAGTGGTATCCTCAGTGCAAGGTAGGACCTGATGTCACCTCCACCAAAAGAACATCTGAATGTTAATTTGTGTGTGAATGTCTGAAGATATCAGTCACATCAGTGCTTTAATGTTTGTCTGTCTTTGCAGCCAGCAGCGTCACAGTGCTCTCTGGAAGCCCAGGCAGAAGTCTGTGCGAAAGGAGCAAAGTGCGCAAGATGGAAAGCCAGGAGAGGAGGAAGAGGATGAGGAGGAATATGATGATGAGGAGGAGGAGGATGACAGCTCAGATGAGGAAAATAATTCAGAAGAAGACCAAGAAGTAATCCTATCACTTCTGCAAAACAAACCTGCCATTTTTTGTTGTTGTTTTTTTTCAGGCTAATTGATCTCAATTTGTTTCTCAAACACATTCAGGTGTTTGAAGAAAAAGCTCCACCATCTGACATCCAGGAAGTAGAAGGTCCCACCATCACTATAAATGAACCGGACAAGGTCAGCCAATCGGATTACAGGACAGAACATGCAAAAACGTTTGATCTGAAGACACTGATGATTCACCACATATTGCTTTAATCCAAAGGTCGCTCCAAGCGTGAACCGCAGTGGCAGGATGAACCTGTTCTCCCTCATGCAGTCCATCAGTGAAATGGATGACATGGAAAAGGGACATGAAACGGTAAATATTATCATTAAAAGATGTTTTTAAAAGATATAAATATAAAAAATATAACCGCCGATGTCTGGGGGAGAGTAATTCGCCTACATAAGTGTAAATGGGGACAAGCATACAGGACGTTACGTAAACATATCACCAGAATGATTGACAATTTGGAGTACCACTTATTTTGAACATCCTCCTCTATACCTTTAACTAAATCCTTTGGGTAAAAAATCTACAAACAGATGTCTTTGAAAAGTATTCAGATTTTTTTTTTAGCATGTTTTTTTTCCCCCCGTTCAATCTGTTTCATTTTATTCATTAAAGTTTTCAAACACATTCTGCTGCGTATCATCCCCCATTTCTTTCTTTGCATGGATTCTCTGCACATTTAAATCTGCCCTTTTATAACAAACTCTGTTCAACTTCTGTCCAAAGCTTCCTGGCAGTCCGAGACGCTCTCCTAAGCAGCGGAGGCGCAGCCAAGGCCGACGGCTGACCCACCAAAAAGCGTGCTTAGATGTGTCGCCAGAGCCACGCTCCCTGCCGGACGATGGACGAAGTAATCACTAAAGTGGACAAAAGCCTGGACAATCAGGGAGGCACAGGAGGGAGGGGGTTCAATAAAGGAAATCCTGATGGGGGAGGAATCCAGGAACAAAGCCAAGGCAGTTCTGTTGAAGATGTAGTTGATTTTGCTGGGCTTGCATTGCACACCTGAGCTCCTAGTGATACCTGGGTTATTACTCTCTCTGCAGTATTGCTGTAACACTCCCAGCCTGGATTTCATTTAGCTCGTCAGTCTGTCAAATGGTATTATGGTTATAAAATCTTGTCACCATGATCCCACAGACCCTCCCTCCTGCCCACTGGAGTTCACCCTTCAACACTTCAGAGAGATCTATGCAATACCTGTAATCTCTCCCCCGCTGATGAACACACGGCTTTTTAAACGACCCCATCACACCTTCTGCTTTCTAAGATCTCTGCTGGAAGGATTTCACTGTATCCAAGCTGTGCATTACGGACCACGTTAAAGGCCAGTTTTATGGCGCATGCTTGATTGCCAAACTGTTTTTTTTTTATGTGCCAGTAAATCTATTTAATTATATATATATATATATATATATATAAAAAAAAACAATAAGGAACAATTGTAGATGGTTTTTATTCTGATGTATTCACCAGGAGTGCATGAGTGCCTTTAACCTGAGAGTTAAATATTTGCTGGATTTTTTGTTTTTATCTCTAAGATGACTCCATCTTGGATCTTTCCTAGTTTCTCTGCTTCATCCATGTGATTTCCAGAGATTGTGCTTCTTTACAGTATAGAGGACTCCATTTGTATTTGCTGGTGGTCTGGATGCATTTGTTTGTGTTTATATACCAGCCTACAAGACCAAATTGTTCAGGGTTTCTTCTTGTGTGTATTTATAAGAATTGTATTCTTTATTACCCAGATGTCACCAGATGCCAACATGGATCATTTCATGTTGGTTGTCTCTTTGAGTGCATCCAAGCTAAATAATTCATTAAAATTGCATGTGCACAATGAAAATCAATTACATGCACTTTATATTCCCACACTGTTCACACTGCCTGAGGCAAACCTGCACTGTACTGTGATCTGATTGGTAACTTTAAGTTGCACCCAAAGCTGTTCTGTTGTTGTGGCGAGTACTTGGCTTTCTACAGCTCACTCCTGTTTACGAAAAACTCTGTGGCAAATAAAGACATCCTAACCAAGTCATTTAGTCTATTTATTAACAAACAACAGGAGATCAGATTTATTCATTAGACACATGACATTATTCATCACATTCTCCTTTATTTCAGCCTTTCTAATGTAAATATCTGTACAGTAATGTGACAAAAGAAGGTTTTATAGATACAGTTTATAAAAGCAATATATGGTAAGGATGCTGCACTTTAGGTCCCGATGTATTTCCTTCTGGGTTCACTGAGGGTGACTCCTCCCTGTTTCATCGCAGCTCTGAAGGCCTGAACCTGTGAAGAGGAAAAAGATGAAACTTAAAAAAAAAACTGTAAAAATCCATTAAAAAAACATGAATGCTACAGTCCTTAAAATTAATATTTTGACAGCTCTTCTGTTTACTTTTTTTGTTCTCAAAATTTAAATATCAAAGATAATCTGAGAAACAAGCTGGGAGTTTTTCATGTTTTAAATGAAGGCAGCCATGAATGAGTCACTTCGTCAGTCTAACCACCACTGTCAGATTTCTGACTTTGCAAGACTATTTTATTTCTCCATGAAATGCCCGATTTATATCAAAGTCTGAATTAAAAAATAGAAAATCTATGAGGAGGAAAATACTTTTCACAAAAAGTCATTTAAAAAAATTCTGATTC